GTATTTCCTGGGGGGTTAGGTGGAGAACGATCAAATACATAGGTTCTGTAGAATGTATTTAAAAAAAAAGAGTGCTGAAGGAAATAAAAAAAAAAGAGACAAGTAAAATACTTCGACCACATTAAAAGTCGTTACACTCTTGTTAAATCCATAGTGGTGAGAACAGTCAAGCGAGCAAGAGGCAGACAGTGATACAAATGAGAGGACAACACCAGAAGATGGACAAAAGCCTGTCTGAGAGGGTGTATATACCAAAGTGAATAACAAAGCATGTTAGAGATTCGTTGTGGCTGACCTTCTTTGTGGAGAGCCTGCTTGAGGGATTGACTGAGGGATTGATTTAGGGCTCAGGATTGGTTGGAAACAATCTTCTTCTTCTTCTTCTTCACGTTCACCAGCTGTAAGCTCTGATGAAAATGTCTGGTTGTTCGTCCACTTTTGGTTGTTCATCCACTTCTGGACTGCAGTCCTGTTTCAGAACCTGATTGTTGCGTGTACATCCGTTTGACAGATCTGACTCATTTGCATGTACACACAGGCAGATGCACTCCGACTTCGAAGCTCCCAATTAGTCGACTCTGACGACGTGCTTTTGGGTGGGCAGTGGCTCTGTTCTTGTTTTCCCTATAATAGGAACCCACGCGGGGAGGAAAGAATCTTGCTTTTTATTTCATTGAATGTATTAGTTAGTTCTTCACGTTCACCAGCTGTAAGCTCTGATGAAAATGTCTGGTTGTTCGTCCACTTTTGGTTGTTCATCCACTTCTGGACTGCAGTCCTGTTTCAGAACCTGATTGTTGCGTGTACATCCGTTTGACAGATCTGACTCATTTGCATGTACACACAGGCAGATGCACTCCGACTTCGAAGCTCCCAATTAGTCGACTCTGACGACGTGCTTTTGGGTGGGCAGTGGCTCTGTTCTTGTTTTCCCTATAATAGGAACCCACGCGGGGAGGAAAGAATCTTGCTTTTTATTTCATTGAATGTATTAGTTAGTTCCTTAGTGACTAGTATAGGCAGCCATGCTTGTCTGTGTCTTTCCATCTTTGACATCACGTGTCAGTTTGTGTACCTAACACATTTCTGTGCAGTGATAAGAGTAAGTAAAGGACCCTTGATCACACCGTCAGCCGTATTGGGCATGTAGGGCTAGCACTAGGTTTTATAGACTAATCGGCACTCAGTGGACGATGTGGTTAGCATCAAACCGGCCGTCTTTACTTCCCAGGACTTTCCGTGGTGCCCATTTGAGCCGGGTTTGACCTGAAATCCAAGGTCTTTTTTTTTAAAAGTCCGGTTCCGTCAGGACTTGAACCCACGACCTTCCGATTCGCAGGCGAGTGTTTAACTGCTACACCACGGTGGATCCTGTATGCTGGTGGTGCATGATGAATATGATCAGTGTTTCCGCCGGTTGATTTCCTTCCTGGATTCACATCCATATGTAAAAGTGATTCTGTGTTTTTGGGCGCTGGGAGCCTCTGAGGTCCCCCCCCCCCCCCCGTAACCTTTTAAACGGTACCTCAGCCCCCTTCCCTTCTACGCCTATGTATTTTTTTAAATGTCTGCGCCCACGTTATGTATAACATGAAAGCATTATTGGTCCAACCTCCAGTGAGGATAGTCTTTAAAAGCACTCACCTTAAATTCTGACGACAAACAAGAAACGCATTGTCAGTCAGTCTGAGGATGGCATGTGAAAGCACTGACAATAAATGTGAGAACAGTCTCGACAATAAACAGACAGTAAATCTGACAGCAGTCTAGAAAAGCTGATTTATCATTCAGCAGCGTATGTTTTGTTTCTTTTCTACTGTCTGGGCTGCAAGCAGCCGTGCAAATGTGTGTATTGTCAGCAGACTCAGTTGGGTTTTGTTTTTAATGTAACCCTTGCTTCTTTAGAACGCACAGTCTGTGGCGACAGATTTCACATTTATAGAATTATTTCAGATGTTTATGTTTTGAATATTCAACTTTGAAAATTGAAGCATAAAGAACATACATAATATAAGATAACCCTTGGCCCATTAGGGTCGTGGAGGTGTATTGATGGAAGCACTAGCACATAAAACCTGCCATCTTTCTCTGTCTTCTGCTTGATAAATGAGTGTATGATAACTTAGTCATGTCCATTTCTTGATGTTGTCATTCCAGGTTCTTCTTTGCCCTCATCTTCTTTGACTACCCCCCAATGTTGCTTGAAGTACAGTCTTTGCAATCGAATTCTGTCTCACTACGTGCCCACACCAAGCTAGCTTGCGACCTGTTGTCCCGCAAATTTGTAAATTATGTCTCTGATATATTGATTAGTTTTGTGTTCTAAATATCTCATTTGTAAAATGCGTCTGTAGCATTTACATTCAAAAGCCTGAATACTCCTTTCCAGTGTGAGTCTAACCCTCACATCCGTATAAGAAAATAGACAACACCAGTGATTTGTAAATATTGACCTTGACTGAGATGTTCAAAAAAGAACAAGGCAGCAGGAATAGGTGGTATTACAACAGAAATACTCATTGCATGTAAGACAACAGCAACATCTTGGTTGACCAGAATCTTTAACATGGCTTAGGAGGCACAGAAAGTTCCATGTTACTGGCAGAGAGCAATCATTGTCACCATTTGGAAGAATAAAGGGGACAAAAGAGTCTGTGAAACATACAGGGGCATCTCCATCCTGAGCCATACTGGAAAGATGTTTACAAAAATATTGGAACTTAGAGCTCAACCAGTACTAGAGCCCCAGTTCAGTTTCAGGAAGGGAAAGAGCTGTACAGATGTAATATTTTCTTTAAGGCAGATATGTGAGCAGTCTGTTGAATTTAATAGAAGTCAACACCTTAAATTTATAGATCAAGAGAAGGCATTCGATCGAGTCAACAGATGCAAACAATAGACAATTCTAGAAGTTTATGGTATTCAAAGTCAACTGTTGGGTAACATTTACCAAGATAGTCAGTGCGCAGTAAGAACAACAGAAGGAATGACAGACTGGCTTCCCTTCTCATCAGGTGTCAGACAGGGATCTGTCCTCTCACCATTGCTATTAATTACTTACATGGATAGAAAGAATATCACAGGAGGCGAATACAGACACTGCAGAAATCACTAAATTTCTTTTTGCAAATGATAATTGTCCCATACACCACCAAGAACAGAATTTACAACACCACAATGACTCCTGACATCAAGCCTACACAAAGTATGAGATGAGAATAAACACCGCGAAAACTGAGGTAAAAAGGATACGCAGGAAACATAATATCATTAAAGTTTCATGTTAACGGTAATACAGTCAAACCAGTACGAGGATTCAAATATTTAGGAAGCATTTTTACAGAGGATGACAGACTCGAAAGAGAGATAGAAGTCAGGGTACAGAAGGCAAATGCTGTCACCTATTAGTTAGCCTCACTTCTTAGACACCCAGATGTCTCCCTTCCAGTTAAACAGCCAGTGATTATTAGCATCTTTATCCCTACTTTATGTTATCAGTGCCAAACATGGACAATAAATAGGGCACTAGAACTACATGTGAAATGCGCTGTCTCCACAAGGTTACTAACAACACTAGACGAGACAGGGTTAAAATACCAACATTAGAGAGAAAGTTGGAATAAAACCATGTCTGGATTATACTGACAGACAAAGAATAAAATAGTTCGGCCATCTAATGATAACACAGCCAGACCAGACTGCGTATGAGATTTTTTAACAGTAGAACATCTGGAAGGAATGCCAGAAGGAGACCAAGAAGAGATGGATAAATGCTGTAAATGAAACCTGCAAAAGGTTGAACAAATCCATCACTCAAGCCACCCGAGAAGCGCAAGACAAATACAGACAACCAAGAAACTGGGTTACAGCCTGGTAACAGTGGGATGACAAAAGAAGAAGAAGAGTCTTGGAGTAAACTTTGTAATTTCCATCTTATCTTCTCATAGTCCATGCCATGTGGCATCGGTAGTTATGTCTATCCATAACCTTTGGTCTCATGTCATTTCAATGAATTATTACACAGAAGATCTTCCATGCCATGATGTCAAACTGTTTAGCATCTTCTCTTTGGATCTCCCTCTGCCTCTTCTCCCCTACAACTTTCCCACCACCGCCATGTACTCCAGTTTTCTCCTCCTCATGACATGACCAGACAATGTAGATTTTGTTGTTGACAGTTAGTTCTGTTCATGAGTCAGTTTCTTTCAAGACATCTTCATTAATCTTTTGTATCTGGATAGAGTATTCTCATCATTCGTCTGTTAAATGCACATCTACCCTGCTGATTTGTATCTGGATAGAGGAAAATGCTGGCTATTTCAGTGACAGTAAACTAAATATTTAAAAAATGGAATAAATAAAGTTGTCAAGAAGCAGGTTTAGGAAATGAACAAAAAGATGTGATTTTGCTGAGAGGTGAAGTCAGAAGAAGAAATTACCAGCAAATCAAACAGTCACAATAACTTGATAATATATTCAGGTCAATAATGTTAAGGACACTCTTCCAGGACTTGAGGTGTATTGTGTCTAGAGTGCTAAGCCTGTATTTGATCAACCAAACAGCCATTGTCAGCGATATAGTCAGCATCATGCCTGCTGCCTTTACTTCCCAGGACTTTAGCCGATACCATTTAAAGCCGGGTCAGCATGATTTTTGTTTGTTTCAAAGTCCAACTCGTTTTGGATTTGTCTTACTGCTATATCTGTCAGTCAGAGACCTTTTCTAGTCACCGCTGACAAAACTCTCTTTAACAGAGTATCTGAGTAAAACGTATTGTAGAAGTCATCTACATGGTTGACATTGACTTTATTAGCTTACTCATTTGCAACACATGAAAACAAAAACCTTATCTGTCAGTCCTTACAAACCAAACCGTCCTTTTCATTCTTTTCTCATTCCCTTCCCTTTCATCCGTTCACTCAAAACAACACTAATAAACAGTCGCACAGTAATAACTGGGTCCATCTGTTTTTTTACCACTTATTTATGTTTGGTGCAGATATCTAGTCATGGAGTTGATGGATGCCAACCTGTGTCAGGTCATACAGATGGACCTTGATCATGAACGCATGTCTTACCTCCTGTACCAGATGCTCTGTGGGATCAAACACCTGCACTCTGCGGGCATCATACACAGGGTAAGTGTTCAAGTACTCATACCCTAACATGTTCGGTCCCAAACTCTGTCCTTATTATTTAAATCATACACAGGGTACAAGTACTTAGATATTCAGTCCCTGACTTGATTGGTGCCAACTTTAACCTCGTATTGGCATCATACACAGGGTAAATGCTCAGATATTCAGTCCCTGACTTGTTTGCTCCCAACTTTGCCTCGTTATTGGCATCATACACAGGGTACAAGTACTTAGATATTCAGTCCCTGACTTGTTTGGTGCCAACTTTGCCTCGTTATTGGCATCATACACAGGGTACAAGTACTTAGATATTCAGTCCCTGACTTGTTTGGTGCCAACTTTGCCTCGTTATTGGCATCATACACAGGGTAAGTGCTGAAATGTTCATACCTTGACTTGTTTGCTCCCAACTTTGCCTCGTTATTGGCATCATACACAGGGTAAGTGCTGAGATGTTCATACCTTGACTTGTTTGGTCCCAACTTTGCCTCGTTATTGGCATCATACACAGGGTAAGTGCTGAAATGTTCATACCTTGACTTGTTTGGTCCAACTTTGCCTCGTTATTGGCATCATACACAGGGTAAGTGCTGAAATGTTCATACCTTTACTTGTTTGGTCCCAACTTTGTCTTGTTATTGGCATCATACACAAGGTAAGTGCTGAGATGTTCATACCTTGACTTGTTTGGTGCCAACTTTGCCTCATTATTGGCATCATACACAGGTTAAGTGCTGAGATATTCAGTCCCTGATGTGTTTAGTCCCAGACAGTTTGTGTAGTCTGTCCTCTTAAACCTATTCTGCGGCAAGCAGTTCACCACATTGTCATCAGTGCACATATCTGATTTATTCGCCCAATAGTTGAAGGTTATGTATATACTCAAACTGCTGTGTGTTTGAAGAGACCTGGACAGTGAAATAAACTGTTGGAAAATTAAGTAGAGTCTCTGGAGATGCGATAAACAGAAGAATAACTCTTAGTTTCTAGAAACAAAAATGGAAACAGAAACTGTCAAATACAGAGATTGTGAAGAGAGTAAGATTGAAAAGAGAGTTGCCAAAGGAAATGAAAAGAGACGTGCAAAATATTGAAAAGACAAAACACTCTTTTAAACAATACGGGAGGGAAAAGAAGGCAAGCATGAGGCGGAAATGAAGCAAGTAAAAGGATGACATCAGGAGATGAATGACTGGCAATCTCAAAGATTTTTACATTTTGAGCACACAAAAACAGCATGTTTGAGATTCATCGCAGCCAGGCTTCACTGTGAAGATGGCACCTGTTTGACTGATTTTTTCCCCATTATAAAACATCCTTATCTGTTCCATTATAAAACATCCTTATCTGTTCCATTATAAAACATCCTTATCTGTTCCATTATAAAACATCCTTATCTGTTCCATTATAAAACATCCTTATCTGTTCCATTATAAAACATCCTTATCTGTTCCATTATAAAACATCCTTATCTGTTCCATTATAAAACATCCTTATCTGTTCCATTATGGTAGTCCTAGTTATTAGTATAGCTCAGCTCATGCCTGTAAAGATGGTGTAATGATTTACAGCGTTGTTACATATACAAGGTAAAAGTCACCACCAGCTGTCAAATTCGGCAGAAAGTTCTGGTTTTTTAATCCTAGACTTTAGTCTTGATCCAGAGCTTGAATTTTGCATCTGGCATATTTATATGCAGACTGTTGGTTCTTAACCTCTCAGGCAAATGCACTCTGTCTTTGAAGGGAAACACCCCTAGTTAGTCACCTCCTATGTTATGCTTGTTAAGAGGTAATAGATCTACCCTTTGTTCTTCACAATGGAGCCCCACATGGAGATTACAGATACTGACAAGGTGGCCATTTCCCTGCCTGTTCCTAGACAGTTCCCAGAACACTAGAAATTATATGCTACCAATTTGTGTAAGGCCGTATTGGTCAGAGAACAATTCTGTTGCTCCTATGGGAAAAAAATAGACCACTTTCTCAGCAGACAAACTCACTTACCACTGTGGCCACTTCAGGCCTGTGTTAGAACAGGCAGCTTTTGCTAGAGTAAGGTTAATACAACCACTGCTTTCCTAAGAAGCACGTCGTTGACTGATTAGTGGTTTCCTTAAAAGTCAGATCGCATCTGCCTGAGAGGCGAGGAACCAACAGTCTGCATTCAAGTAAGCTAGATCTGTAACATTGCTGTGCATGTAAAATTCAAGTTCTGGACCAAGAGTTAAAGTCTGGAAGTGGATTAAAAAAAAAAGTAGAACTTTTCACCAAAGTTTATAGCCTGTGAATGCTAGGGAAAAGAATCTGAAACCCATTTTTTTAAATATATAAAATACATATTGTAAGGGGGAGGTGGGGGGGGGGGGTGCATTACCATTCTGGACCTTCATTTGCTGAAGACTTTCTAATGGTTTGACCCTTTCACTTTTGTGTGTGTGTGACTGTCATCACGATGTCATCATGTTCATCTGCACCATGCTATCACATACTTAACATTTGTGGCATCCTTAACAGTAGTATTGACATGTTGCAAGACAATGGCATAGTTACTATAATTTCCACCACACTTTCAAATTTTCATTTTAAGTCTCCTTGTAAAACTGTTTAAAGTTCAGAAATGTCAATTTTCAATCAAATGATTCAAGGAAATTAATCCAATGAACTGTGACTAAAAGACTTACCAAAGGAGAAATGGGAATAATGTTCACAAAATAAATCACTGAACTTTTCTGGACCTCAACCACACAACAATAAGAGAGGGCAAAGTACTCCAACCACTAGTGCCCACCAGGGGAGTCGTCTAAATAACTGTAAAATATAGGAATAAAAAAAAAGGTGATGCGGAATGGATGTAATAAAATAAATGAAGGAGTGAAAATAGTAATAAAAGTAATAATAATGATATATAATAGTTTTAAGGAAAAAAATAATACAGGCTGAAATGATAAAGCTTAAAATGGTAGCTAGTAATTTCTAAAAGTGTCATTTGGTTGCTTTATCATCAAAATTTATAACTAGCTTAAGTAACAGATTGCTAAAGGCTGCTTGTATTACTACTTTAAACTGTAGAACCAATCATTCCAGAACAGGAACTGAGAGAAGCAATCAAACGAAGCCCTAAGAATAAAGCTGCCGGAATTGATAGTATTCCAGTCGAGGCCATAAGAGCATGCCAGGAAGTGGGTGTAAAATGGTTATCAAAGATTTTAAAACAAGCGTGGCAGGAGGTTAGCAGAAGACTGGCACAGATTTGTGAATGTGTCAGTGTGGAAGAACAAGGGCAGCAAGAAAAACTGTAATGAGTACAGATTCACATCTGTTCTTCACCACGTAGGAAAACTTTACACAAGAATTTTAGAACAAAGAGTAAGATATCAAGCGGAACCATCCCTAAATAATTTGCAGTTTGGCTTCAGAAAGGCAAGAGGGACATCAGTGCGGTTTTTACATTGAGATATGTGACTGAAAAATAATAATTTAGTTTGGGGAAAAATGTTTATAAATAAATGTGGCTGTCATGGATCAAGAAAAAAGCCTATGTCTGAGACAAGTTATGGTCAATCCTCGAAGAGTATGGTGTAAATGACCAACAACTAGACAACATCAGAGCTATGTATCGTACAATAAAATGTGCTGAATTGCTAAGGCATGACAAACTGGCTTCACATTCATTCTGATGTACGACATGGGTGTGTACCATCACCACTATTGTTTATTTTCTGTATGGATAAGAAATCTCAAGAAGCAAACCCCCAGTAGGAGGATAGGAATGAGTTGATATTTGCTGGTGATCATGTCCTGTTATGCAAATATAAGGATAACCTCCATCATGACATCAACAGCTTAAACAGCCTTAACACCTGTTGCAAGAAATCATTCATGAAAATCAATATTTAAAAAAAAATATAATTGAGATAAATAATAACAGTAAGTGGAATCCCAGTCCAGCATATCATCACTGAGTGTATAAAGCTAAGGAGAGGATTCAGCAGAGAGAGAGAGAGAGAGAGAGAGAGAGAGAGAGAGAGAGAGAGAGAGAGAGAGAGAGAGTGTGTTTCACACATCATGGGCTGTTTGGGACTAAAGCTAAGAGTATTTCATGTATGAGATTATTATTATTCCAGTTTTTGTTTATGACAGGACCTGAAGCCAAGCAATATAGTTGTGAAATCTGACTGCACCCTGAAGATCTTGGACTTTGGTCTGGCCAGAACCGCAGGCACGGGTTTCATGATGACCCCCTATGTTGTGACCAGGTACTACAGGGCCCCAGAGGTCATTCTTGGAATGGGATATAAAGCAAATGGTGAGATCTTGACCGGCACTTTCAAGACTGTCAACAGTCTCTCACACATTATCTGTCAACATTCTCTCACACATTATCTGTCAACATTCTCTCACACATTATCTGTCAACAGTCTCTCACACATTATCTGTCAACATTCTCTCATACATTATCTGTCAACATTCTCTCACACATTATCTGTCAACATTCTCTCACACATTATCTGTCAACATTCTCTCACACATTATCTCTCAGCATTCTCTCACACATTATCTGTCAGCATTCTCTCACACATTATCTGTCAACATTCTCTCACACATTATCTGTCAACATTCTCTCATACATTATCTGTCAACATTCTCTCACACATTATCTGTAAACATTCTCTCACACATTATCTGTCAACATTCTCTCACATCTGTCAACATTCTCTCACACATTATCTCTCAGCATTCTCTCACACATTTCTGTCAACATTCTCTCACACATTATCTGTCAGCATTCTCTCACACATTATCTGTCAACATTCTCTCACACATTATCTGTCAACATTCTCTCACATCTGTCAACATTCTCTCACACATTATCTCTCAGCATTCTCTCACACATTATCTGTCAACATTCTCTCACACATTATCTGTCAGCATTCTCTCACACATTATCTGTCAACATTCTCTCACACATTATCTGTAAACATTCTCTCACACATTATCTGTCAACATTCTCTCACACATTATCTGTAAACATTCTCTCACACATTATCTGTCAACATTCTCTCACACATTATCTGTCAACATTCTCTCACACATTATCTGTCAGCATTCTCTCACACATTATCTGTCAGCATTCTCTCACACATTATCTGTCAGCATTCTCTCACACATTATCTGTCAACATTCTCTCACACATTATCTGTCAACATTCTCTCACACATTATCTGTCAACATTCTCTCACACATTATATGTCAGCATTTTCTCACACATTATCTGTCAACATTCTCTCACACATTATCTGTCAGCATTCTCTCACACATTATCTGTCAACATTCTCTCACACATTATCTGTCAGCATTCTCTCACACATTATCCACATGACATGTACCATATTTGTCCGTGTATAAGACACCACCAGTATAAGATGGCTTGTATTTTGTTTTTAAAGCCCTCAAATTAGACAATAAATATTTCAGTGGCATTCTGTGTATAAGGGAGTCACTGCGGTGTAGCAACTAGGCGCTTGCCGGAGGATCGGAAGGTCATGGGCTCGCGTCCTGGCGGAGCCAGACTTTTTCCCATAATGTCCTTGGCTCACAGGTCTACCCAGCCTTGAGTGGGTACCAGGAGTAGTCCTGGGAAATAAAGGCAGCTGGCGTGATGCTGACCATATCACCCACCAAGTGCCGATTGGTCTATAAATATATGTCTAACCCTATATGCCCAATACGCCTAAAGACATGGAAGAGGGATCTTTACTTTACTTTTTTCTAATAAAAGACGACCCCCATTTGTAAAATTGAAAAATGTTTAGAAAATATATCATCTTTTGTACAGAAAACTAAGGTGTATATTGTTCAGAGTAATGTTTCTACATTTGCTGACAAATTATACACATATTCCCATCGGTAGGGTTTGGGGGGTGAATAGACCCACTGCCTTCATAACAGGTATACCATAACAGTTGACTAGAGATTTCCCTTCAAAGACGGGGTGCATCTGCCTGAGAGGCAAGGAACCAACAGTCTGCGTACAGATACGCATCTGCAAACGGATGTGCATACAAAACTCAAATTCTGAACAAGACTAAATTCCAGAAGTGGATGAACGGTTAGATTTCCACTGGAGTTTACAGCCCAGGAGCAAAACCTTTTTTTTCTTGATAGGGAAGGAATCAACAGTCTGCATTCAGTCAAGTCAGATCTGCAGTATATGCACGCAACACTCAGGTTCTGGGAGAAGACTAAAGTCCAGAGGTAGACAAACAACTAGAACTTTCTGCCAGAGTTTACAGCCAGTGAATTCACGTGAAGAAGGGAGATTTCTGTTTCTGAATTATGTAACAAACAGTTATCATCACAGTTTCTGGCAGTCACAATAGTTCCTTAATGCACTGAACAATGCAGGCTGAAGAAAAAAAAAAACAACAGCTTTCTGCCAGTGTCTTATGCTCAGTATAAACCAGAACATGTCCTTTAAGACTGCTGTCTCCTGCTCCTGGAGGAGCTGTGAAACCACATGTGGCCACACCTGGTAAACCTGACAGAATTCTTGCAAGAAACCTCGGGCTGACATCTTTCAGTGGATTAAGTGCGTCACCAGAGATTTCTGAAGAAGAAGAAGAAGAAAGAGAGGTCATAGTTTCTAATCATACTTTATTTACTGTCAGGTTATTGGTTAATTGTGTTCTTGCTGTTTGTTGTTTACACAGTTGATATCTGGTCTGTGGGCTGTATAATGGCTGAACTAATACGAGCTACTGTAATGTTTCCAGGTTCCGATCGTATCCTTTCAGACAAGATTTTACAAGTTATTTACTATTATCCATGTATTTAGGTATTATTTTATCATTTTCTTTGTTTTATCTATTGGATAAAGATCCTTAACTATTTCAGGCCCATGAATTTTGACTTACTTAGCTCGCATTAATTTCTCTTTACAAAAATGGTAGAGGGGGGTGTGTACAAAAAATGCAATGAGAATGTAATATTTTTCTAATCCCTACAAAATCACATGTTTCTTTAAAAAGGATAAATGTACCATTTTGAATCTAATGGTATGTGTATGTTTAATGATGTTATAGTTAGTAGAAAAAAAATTCAGTCTCCAAAGACAAAATTTTACACAAAAAATTCTTCGCTTACCATAGTTTTGCAGCCGCAAGAGCACTTAAAACCAAATGTTAGTTGTGTATCCTTTACAGGACATTGCAGAACCAACCCCAGCAATTTGTTGGCTGTTGTGGTTTTTCTCGGCAAATTGAACTGTCAGCAGTTTGTCATTGTTTAGTTTGTCATAAAATACAAACAAAGACTTTTGAACAAAGTAAAACTATTAGTATAACTTGCCCTGACTATTTTAATGGCAGTTTCCGGCGTTAAAAACTAATACGGAACAGTATGGTAATCAGTATGTGCTGGACACATGATTAGTGCAAACTGTGTGGTTTGGGCAGATCAGAACTTCTCAGTCAACACACATCATCGCTTTGTGGTTTTTGTTTTTTGTTTTTTTTGTTTTTGAGTAATGACACTTGTTTTTAAGTCCATACAAAGAGGTTAGTACGTTATGTAGGTAAAATATTTTTTAAAATATGTTTGCATGCTATGTAGCACTAGCAAAGGGCAAGCAGTCATTTGTGTTTCTCTTGGATGATACCAAGATAAACATATGTTCATAACGTTCTTGGAATGAATTTTTTTTCCCAGAGAAACTAATGTGTTAACAAGGTAACCTTAATACAGTGCATGTGGCAGTCATTAAGTGATGTATGTGCCAAAGTGGAATCTGTTATCTCTGTGCATGTAGCAGCCATTAAGTGATGTATGTGCCAAAGTGGAATCTGTCATCTCTGTGCATGTGCAGAGTTAAAGCCTATAAATGGAGCTGATCATGCAGAGTAGTCTTCTTGTAGTCCATGCCTTGTGGCACCCACAGCCTTCTGATTCATGTACTTTCAGTCAGTTCTGACACAGATGATCTTCCTAGCCATGGTGTCAAACTGTCCAGCTTCTTCTCTCTCGGTCTCCCTCTACCTCTGTTCCCCTCCAACTTTCCCACTGTCATGATGTTCTGTAGTTTTCTCCTTCTCTTGACGTGACCAAAGAATGCAGAGTAACAATAGTGAGTCAAGGACCCTCTACATCAGGCATAGTGTCTGCGCTAGACCCAGGATTTTCGAGACCAGACGTCAGCACATGAGTGGATGATATGCTCAGTATAACACTAACCCTCTTTTTGTTGTTTCCCAGGACATTACCTGGTACCCATTCGAGGCTGGGTCCACCTGGGAGCAAAGATCAGTTTTAACTCCCCAAAAAATCCCCCATGATGTAAATCTGAATCTGAGACCTTCAGACCAGCAGGCAATACTTTGTTTCCCTGAAAAATAAGACTAGGTCTTTTATTAATTTGTTACTTTCAAAAATGCACTAGTGCATTGGGGGGTGTTTCTTTGAGAATACATTTATTCACATAAAATATTCTACATATTTTTCAGATATAGTCATGTAATTTTATTCTGAAACGTCATAACTCTCCAAATTCTGAATTCCAGCCTGAATTTATGAGACTCCATTTCCTATATCAGTGGTCTCTGTACTAGGTCTGGCCATTCGACAACCAGGCTCTCAGTCTTACCTAGGCCTTGTTTTTTGGAATAGGACTTATGTTAACTAACTCTTTCAGTTTCAGGGGTGATTTAGCAACAGAGGCCCAAGAGGTAGTAGAGAAAGACGTAAAATCAGCACATCTTGCATTCATTGGGGTTCTAGGTAGGAACCAATGAAGGTTGGAAGATAATTAAAAATAAGAGAGAAAGACCTTGACTCCTGCCCTAGATATTGATCAGTGGAACAAGATAATTGAGCAGCTTGGCACACCAAGTCAAGATTTCATGGCACGATTGCAGACGACAGTCAGAAACTATGTGGAGAACAGGCCAAAGCATGCAGGGCACAGTTTTGAGAAGTTGTTTCCAGATGTGCTGTTTCCTCCAGATAGTGCAGGTAATTTTGTCTTAGTTAACATCACTAAACACATATAAGGATGTTCAGAAACAGTAGAATTAAACTTCAAAATTTTCTTCTTTACTTTTTTTTCCCCCTGCTTTGGGTGTCAAGAGAGATATCGCTGGCACTGCGGCAACATCTCCTAAGTGGAATTTGGGGCCATTTTCGCCTGTATAGGTCACAATGAAGTATTACTTTTCCAGGGTGGCGAGGGGTGATCAGGTTGCACATGTAAGTGTTAGCAGGTAACGATTACACTGGAGAGGGTATCACGTGATTTTTTTTCTCCTCGTTGCTTTGTTATTGAGAGATTGTGTGTGTAGCTATTTTCATAGTACCAGTAACTGCTAGCTTTCGCAGGTTACAGTTTCTGTGTGATTACCATTAGCATGCAGCAAGTGTTCTTTCCCCACTATGTTTGAGATGTAAAACTAAGTGGCATATTTATCATAAATAGTAAAATAATGCATTCTTCTGTGGAAGTGGAAAGTAGAAGGGGCGATCACAGCTGTTACATGCTCACCCTGCTACTGCTTTCCTCACATCTGTATAGATTTTCAGATATCAGTGTTAGCACTTGAGTGATGTTGGCACAGTGCCAACAATATAAGGTTCTTCTTATTGCTTTTCTAGCTGCCTCGGCCATATAGACATCATAGTACGGTAGTCTTTCGTGTGTTATCTTTCCATTTGTTTCTTGGTCTACCTCATGCTCTAGATCCATCTCCTCCCCCCCCCACCTCTCCCCCTTCCTCTGTCTCTGTCTCTCTCTGTCTGTCTGTCTCTCTCTCTCTCTCTCTCTCTCTCTCTCTCTCTCTCTCTCTCTCTCTCTCTCTCTCTCTCTCTCTCTCTCTCTCTCTCTCTCTCTCTCTCTCTCTCTCTCTCTCTCTCTCTCTCTCTCTCTCTGTCATAATGCTCTCTCTCATACACATACAAACACAAAACATGATTGTTTGGCTTCCCCATTGAGTGTTGATGAAGGCAGATGGGAACCTTCCTTCTCCTTGTAGAAGATCAATAGTTCTCTATGTTTACTTATGAGATCTTGACACTTGTACTGTCATTGTGTTAAATCAGGCAGTTGTTGTTAGGATCAATACAGTGAGTGATAACATAACGTCTAAGAGAGCTGTTGAATTGTTCAGTGCCTTAATTAACACTCTACAGTTATTGATTTTGTGTGAGGGCATTTCTGGTCTATATTGTGAACATACGAGAATTGTGTTTTTGTGTGCTTGAGAGAGAGCGAGAGAGAGAGAGAGGGTGTGTGTGGGGTTGCTTTTTTTTTTTTTTTGTGAGAGAGAGAGAGGAAAGGGGGGGGGGGGGGTTTCTGTGTATTGGTAGTATGTAATCTGAAGAAAAGAAAAAAACTAACAAAGGACTGGAATGGAACAAAGCTAGAAAGAAAAATGCTGATAGTGATCTGTCTGTCAAACCTTTACACCTCAAAGTAGAAGAGGAGTGACTAAGACAAAAGGAGTATGTAATTATTATTTTCTTCTCCTTTTTCAGCATTCTGAGCCCTTCGGGGATTTGAACACTGAGGACTGAAGAAAATTGTGAAGTCATATTTGATGTACCAATCAAAACATTATGCCAGCCACCTTTACTTCCCAGGATTATACCTGAAATTCATTTTAGGCTGGGTCACCTTAGTATCCAAGGCCACTTTTTGTTGTTGCAAAAATCTGACTCATTGCAGATTCAAACTCATGACCTTTTGACCTGCAGACAGGCATCTAGCCACTATGCCATGACAGCTCCCATAATGTTAATATGGCTTGAGTATATTCAATTTCCAAGACATGTTGCTTCTCATAAGTCAGTGTGTTCTGTGATAGTCTTCTTCTGTTTCTTAGCGTTCACCAACTGTAAACTCTGGTGGAAGGTTCTGGTTGTTCGTCCACGTCTGCCAGAACTGAAGTTATGCATGCACATCTGTTTTACAAATTTGGCTTAGTTTGTGTCCAGACTGTTGGTTCCTTGCCTGTCAGGCAGATGCACTCCGACTTTGCAGGAAACATCGACCTGCATTTTCCGGAGCACAGTGGCTCTATTTGTTTCCACTAGATGGAGCCATAGAACCCACACAGTGGCTCTATTTGTTTCCACCAGATGGAGATAGAACCCACACAGTGGCTCTATTTGTTTCCACCAGATGGAGCCATAGAACCCACACAGTGGCTCTATTTGTTTCCACCAGATGGAGCCATAGAACCCACACAGTGGCTCTATTTGTTTCCACCAGATGGCGCCATAGAACCCACACAGGGGCTTCGATATTCAAATCTGGTAAAGCAACTTTATTTTTCGTCATTTTGGTCTAAGAGTTCTTATGTCGATGTGATGTTCTCTCCATAATCCATTAAGTTCAGATTTTCCCATTTGGGTTCTGGGGCCTATATGTGGGGGGGGGGGGGGGGGAGCGAATAGCTCCACTGCCCCTTAATTAACATGTCATAAAAGGTGAGTGATTAAACAAATGCTGAAATCTATGTGTTCTGCCAAAAGGTGCAGATATCCTAGCTGTGCTGAAAACAACACACTCTGCCAGTAACCTTTTAAATTCTTTCAGTTGCATATAATTTCACAGCAGAAACCCAGTCTGGCACAATAACCATAGCATCAAAGTATGTCTGTCATTTTCAATGACACAACATAGATTGTGCTGCAAAGTAAACTATTAGCCATATTTCTGTACCACACTCAGACCAAACATGAAAAATAATACACACTGTGTGTTGTGGTGATGCATATGGGTAATAGCTAATAAACACACTGTCTTTTGGCTGGGACAGAAAGAGTTAAGAGTGAACTCAGAAAAAGAAAGGGAAGTTCCATGCAAACAAATGTGTCCAGCACAGTGCGAGGATATAGGCATTGAGCTGGAATCAAGTGAACAAAATGCTGTGGACTGTTTTGCATGGAGGGGGCACATCAGGAAAGGAATGGCAATGAAGGAAGCAATGATTGCAGAAAGAATGAGAGTTTAACATCTGAGAATAAACACACTAAACACAAATGACGGCAACCATGGAGCTAAAATCCCATGCTATAATTGTGTGGAAGATCTTAACGTGGGTGGGTCTTGCTAATCACATGTGTCATCGCCATGGGCTGTCAATTCCATGCCTTCTCATAGATCAATTTAACACTATCATCTGGAAAGACGGAAAGGTGCCATAAACCAACATAATAATCCAGATGTGCCAGCAGCATAATAAAGGTCCTTTAATGTCTTTGTTTTGTTCCCTTTGTTTGATCATGTCAGAGCATCAAGGGCTGAGGGCATCAGTTGCCAGGGACCTGTTGTCCAAGATGTTAGTGGTAGACCCAGATAAGAGGATCTCAGTAGATGATGCCCTCATGCACCCTTACATCAATGTGTGGTTTGATGAGAGGGAAGTCAATGGGGTAAGTGGATGTGGTGTGGTCTATAGGTAACCATTGTTGGTAACCTTCTTCTTCTTAGTTCAACAGCTGTAAACTCTGGCAGAAAGTTCTGGGGTTTTTTTTTTTTCTTCCATTTCTGGACTTTGGTCTTGTTCCAGAATTTGAGTGTGGCATGCACATTCATTTCTTTCACAGATGTGTCTTATTTGTATGCAGACTGTTGGTTTCCCGCCTCTCAGGCAGATGCACTCTGACTTGGAAGGAAACTCCCCTAATTATTTGCTATGATGACTAGCTTATTGGGGAGTCAGTGGGTCTGTTCTTTTTTCCCTTTAGAATGGGGCCCCAGAACCCGCATGGGGAGTGTAGTCTAAGTAACGTTCATTGGTAGATGTGTAGTCTGTGAGTAGCAGTCACTAACAGATGTCCCATCTACAGATGACCATCATTACTCAATGTAAAATCTACACATAGCCATTATTAGTCAGTGTACAGCTTACAGGTAGCCGTTATTTGTCAATGTCTAGTCTACAAGTAACACAGGCCTGTGTTGCCACTAGCTAGGTCTGTGTTGCCACTATCTAGGTCTGTGTTGCCACTATCTAGGTCTGTGTTGCCACTATCTAGGCCTGTGTTGCCACTAGCTAGGCCTGTGTTGCCACTAGCTAGGCCTGTGTTGCCACTAGCTAGGCTTTGTGTTGCCTCTAGCTAGGCCTTGTGTTGCCTCTAGCTAGGCCTTATGTTGCCACTAGCTAGGCTTGTGTTGCCACTGACTAGGCCTGTGTTGCCACTGGCTAGGCCTGTGTTGCCACTGGCTAGGCCTGTGTTGCCTCTAGCGAGGCCTGTGTTGCCACTAGCGAGGCCTGTGTTGCCACTAGCGAGGCCTGTGTTGCCACTAGCTTGGCTTCTGTAGGCCAAATTTGACCCATGGGTCGCCAGTGGAATCACCCTTTTCTACATTGTCACTCAAGTTATAATATATGTTTTGAAATATTAACCTTGTTATTAGATTATGATCAATAAAATTCTACACTAGTGAACATGTTTTTAAGTTAGATCTTATTATTTCCCGCTTCGTTTGAATGTTACAGATTTTTATCATACTGAGTTTTTTTCTCACATTTTACAGCCATCTCCAGGGCCATATGATCATGCAGTTGACGAAAGAGAACATACAGTGGAGGAATGGAAAAGTGAGTTTGTTTGTAGTAATCATTGTAATTTCCACCATTGTCGGTCCCAAACCCAGCCGAGAAAGAAGAAGGGTTAGGTAGGCATGGGATCAGCATCCCTCAACCTAAAAAACCTTATTTGTTACAGAAAAGAAGGCCAATCCGGAAAAGTAACCAGTAACATGGTGTGTGGTACACTGAAAGAAGGTGCATTATGTTGATGAATATTACCACCATAGCAGTTCATTGATTTCTAGTGTGAACTTTTCTTTTAAGATGTTCTTATGTTGTTCCAGTTTTCTTGGCCTCTGCACCCTTTTCTTTCCAGAATTATTGACCACAGCTTCCTTTTCATTGTTTTAGCTTTGCTTCATAGTGAAGGAGTATCGGTATAGCTAACCATGCATGTCATAAGAGGCAGCTAAGGAGGGTTGGTGTAAAACCGGCTAACTCGTCATATAGAAACAGCTACAAAATCCAACTAATTGTGAAAACAAAAGTGAAGAAATAGCTTAGCCTGAGATGGCCTGGAGCCTTTGTTTCATTTGAAAGGCAGAAGCAGAACTGTGCCTGCACTGGCTGTAAACTCTGATGGAAGGCTGTGGCTGTTCAATAAGTTCTGGACTTTTAGTATTGTTTGAGAACTTGAGTTCTGCCTGCACATCTGCTTTACAGAATGGCTTATTTTTATGCTGACTGTTGGTCCCATGCCTCTTAGGCAGATGCACTCTGACTTTGAAGAATTGGTCCTTTTACTTTTTTTTGTTTGGGTTGGGGGGGGGGGGGGGGGTGGGGGGGGGGTCCTATTCCTTTTTCTTTTTTTCTTCTTTTGGGAAATGGGGCCCCAGAACCCACATGGAGGAGAAGAACAACATCTCAGTTAAAGAAGTTCCATCTTTTTTTTTTCTTCTGGAATAATTGCCAGTGATTTTTTTTATGAGTCTGAGTTTACCTCAGGCCAAACTGGTTTGTAAAAATCCAGTTCCACCACTTCTAAGGATTGAACTCAATACTGCTGTGTTTGTCAGGACATTCAATGGCCTCACAGGTTTACATTTCTAAAAGGTTTAAGGAGGACATGATTAATTTCATTGCACAGGCTTTGATCCCACATGGCTTGCTTTCTCTGTGAAGAACGGCAAGCCACTTGCACAGATCATTGAAAGAAAAGCATCAACAGCTCTACTGCTCAAGCAAACAGCTTCTAGGGATTTCTGTAAAATTTGCACTTGTGTTCTGAACAACAGTCCATGAAATATATATCTACACGCGCGCGTGCATGCACACACGTATGCTCACAAAACACACAAAGTGAAGCTTTGATTAACCGTGACTTGTTTGACCATTAGTTTCTGTTAACCGTTATAGTCGGCTTTAAAAAATGTGTGAGTGTCAACAAACAGACTGACATGTATTTGAAGTAAAATAGGTTTATAGAATCACAATACATTTCTGTTAGTTAGGACTCTAAAGTGAAGCTTGTGTTGATCATTTTGTAAAATTAAATAGAATATGTACATGTATTATTCACTTTTGGAAGATTTTATATTCATTTTCATCCCAAGCCTGCTGTGAAATCAGGTTACTGTCCGTTATATATTAAGAGATTTCTGTTATCGGTCTGTTCACTTGTCTGCCCTGCTCCAGGTGATGGCGGGTAATGACAATTTTAATATATATATATATATATGTGGGTGTGTGTGTGTATGTATATGTGTGAGTGTGCTTGCGTGCATGTGTGTGTACATGCATACACTTGTTGTTACTGTTGTGATGTTTTCCATTTCAGCCCTAATATACAATGAAGTGCTGGAGTATGAATACAAGGGACGTGGTGGTACTATGCAAAATCATAATGGTAAGAAGTCTGTTGCATGCAAGAGAGTTTGGCTCGGATTTATAGCCTGTAACAAGTCAGACAGAATTGAACAACAAGACAGGACAAGAAGACAGCAACAGCTACACTGCATAGCCAAACAGCTTGATGATCTGGACTCTGCTGATGGCATTTCCCTTCCATTCCACTCACAAAATCAGATGCAGGATAAACGAAACATACTCAAGGAAATCACAGCAATGAAATCTAAAACTCCATAGGGGAAAGACAAAGACATGAGAATAAACAAGACAAATAATAGTCCAAGTTCTTTTAGTGATATCCCACTCCAAAACCTGGAGTTATATACCTACTGAGGTAGACATGAAGATAAGGATGGGGGAACTGTTCAGGATATTTTTTTTAAATAGCAGTAGGAGTTTTTATAGCATTTAAAAGGAATGCTAAACTTCAAATATTTATCTCTAATGTCAAATCAGCACTGCTGAATGTCGCTGAAACATGGCTAACAGATATTTACTAATAGACTGCAGACATTAACTAACTGCACAGAAGAAAAGACGTTGGTATTGGATTGGATAGAAGAAACCCTGATAACAGTAAAATTAGAATGTCTTTACATGTCAGCAAAAGATAGGACACCTTGGCTTGAGTTGGTTGAGGTCTGTTGAAATCCTGCCAAGAAGCAACAAATAATTATGTATATATTTTAATATATCACAGGATATTGCATTATATTAATAATGCATTTGAGGAAATTTCAGTTTCTTCATTCTTGAGTATTGGTTATAATTTTTTATAGAGATGCATAGTGTGTGTGATATTTCACACAAGGAAATGTTTTATTTGTTTATCTCTATGTGATATTTCACACAAGGAAATGTTTTATTTGTTCATCTCTATGTGATATTTCACACAAGGAAATGTTTTATTTATTTATCTCTATGTGATATTTCACACAAGGAAATGTTTTATTTGTTTATCTCTATGTGATATTTCACACAGTGAAATGTTTTATTTGTTTATCTCTATGTGATATTTCACACAAGGAAATGTTTTATTTGTTTATCTCTATGTGATATTTCACACAAGGAAATGTTTTATTTGTTCATCTCTATGTGATATTTCACACAAGGAAATGTTTTATTTATTTATCTCTATGTGATATTTCACACAAGGAAATGTTTTATTTGTTTATCTCTATGTGATATTTCACACAGTGAAATGTTTTATTTGTTTATCTCTATGTGATATTTCACACAAGGAAATGTTTTATTTGTTTATCTCTATGTGATATTTCACACAAGGAAATGTTTTATTTGTTTATCTCTATGTGATATTTCACACAAGGAAATGTTTTATTTGTTTATCTCTATGTGATATTTCACACAAGGAAATGTTTTATTTGTTTATCTCTATGTGATATTTCACACAAGGAAATGTTTTATTTGTTTATCTCTATGGGGGTGGAAATTAAGGCCTGTTGAGGGAGGTCATGCTCACTTTCTGCTGGTTATGCTGCTTGATCAGCATATTTCAGACTGTTTGTTGTTCTTCTATTAATATCCACTCCAGACAATTATCCATCTTTTTAAAAAATAGTTTCTTCATATATATAAGTTGAAAAGGCTTAGGCATAGTACATATCCCAGACATATTCCTGTGTTTTTTTTTAATCATAAAGTAAATGTAGATTGTTTTGTTGTTCGTCCATCACGATTGATGAAGACGACTTTTCATCCAAAGTAGTAATCATTAATGATTATGAGTACGAATGTGGCTGTTTAGTCCAATATGAGCCTGGAAAGTTCTTGAGCAGTGTGGACAACAGATGGATGCCACAGTAAGTGTGGGATTAGCAGTACGATTCTTTCTAGTCGGCCTCCGTTTCTCTGCCTGTGCAACCTCCGCTGCCTGGCAGGCCGATGCATTTTGCCTGAGGGATGAAATGTAGATGAGCACAAGCAAAAGCAGCATTTCATAGAATGAAGATTTTCTGTGCAGTCTGTTTATCAGTTGAGGTGAGAAAGAGAGTTCTTAGGACCTATATAGAACCAGTCCTAATCAATAGAATTGGATCATGGGCAGTTAGCTGATTATTTAAAAAAAATGATGTGGAAGTTTCAAAAAATGAGATTTTATAGACCGGTGATGAGAAAATGGTGGACAGAAAAACAAGAAGCATGTAATAAAGATGTCTTGAAAGAAATTAACTTGTGACAACAGGTAAGTTCTAGAGAAAAAGAGTAAGATGAAGAGAAGATAATTAGATAATTATATCACAAGGTGGCGCAAAATGGAAAGCTTTAAAGTGTGATAGAAATTACAATAACCATGCTGTAGTCTTTTAATCTGTTAATATTGTTGTTTAGGCATACCGGTCACAAACCATCTGTCACAGAAGTCTCACTGTTATGAAATGTCCTACTCCACTCATACACTTGCTGACATGCAACATCAAGGATGTATTTCTGTACATTTCACACCTTCACCTATAGAAACGTGGATAATAGAATGCTGCTGCTATTTGGTTATGTCAAAAGTGAGGCAGCTATCTTTAAACTGTCATTATGATGTCACCATGCTTGTTTGCAACATGGTGTTTTGCGTTTAACTTTTGACATCCTTAACAACAGTATTAACAGGTTACAAGACAGTGGTATGGTTATGTTTTATTATTATCACACTTTTAAGGTATTCATTTAAAGCCCCCCCCCCCCCCCCCCCCCCCCCCAAGACAGAAGGATATGATTACCGCATGCCATGAATTATAACCAGAAAAATAAGTGCGTCTATTTCTAGCTTTGTGTAAAAATACTCCGTTTAATTCTGCGTATAAATATGTTTTTCCAATACAGAAGTTGGCAGTGCTATGGAGACAGGTGCAGGAGATGTCGCAGCATCCAAGCTGTCAGCAGCGGCAGCAGCCTCAGCCACCAACGCACCCAACCACCACTAATGATGGCTTGTGCTTGTAAATAGACAACTCATGTGATCCACGCCTCACTTTGGTTTGAATCATTTACTAGTCTGTTCATCCAGTGTCCCTATCTCCTCTCTGATCACACACTTGGAGTGTACCTGTATGTTTGTCAATGTATATTTTGTTTTTAATTGCATTGTGGTAATAAACATCTGTCATTACTGTCTTGACCACTTTCTTTTAGAGCAATTCTGATTAAAGGGGGGGGGGGGGGGATGTCACGGGCCTGAGGATTTCGAGCTACATGGCTAGTGCTGTGAACATAGACTGTGCAGGTTAGGATGTTTCTTGTTGCTCCCGACAGAAAAACTCCATCACCTTATGGAGGATTGAACCTGGGTCTTCGGCGTGAGAGCCCAGTGTTGTAACCACTTGGCCAGCCTTTGTTCAGTAGTAAACATCATCTGTTTAAATCCCCATTAATTACTGGCATCAAGAGGTCATATAGACTGCAGTAGTTGGGGCATATAGAAAGAATGGAAGATGACACAGAGACGAAATGTGTGTACACAAAAGAGATGAATGAGAGTAGACTATGAGGCAGACAAAGAAGTTTGTGGAGAGATAATCTACAGACAGACATGCGGATGCTTGGAGTTACCATCTAGACAGAGAAAAAAATTTGCAGATGACTGGAGGCAGAGGACATCCATAGCAATAAACCTCAAAGGCTCAAAATTCTGAAGAAGAAGAAGAAATATTGATATATTTGCATTAAAGTTTTGGTACTACCTTTTCCCCAGATTAGGTTGTTGGTTGCACACACTTCTGCTGTATATGTGATGCCAGATTTGTCTGACATGGAGAGCTAAAACAAAAAGACTCCCATTAGTTACATCCTATGTTCTGTTAAGTCTTGGAAATATTAATCCATTACATTTTTACAGTCTTATGCAAATTTTAAATTTAAAAACAAATTGTTGGGAGGTCAGGATTGTTTTCATATCAACATTATCTTTGACATTGTTATACAGTGATGAATATTTTGCTGTCATTAGATTGTCAAACAAGCATTGATTTAGTTTGCTGCCATCCAGACCCTAAATTGAATGAATGTTTATTTCAGAATAGTTATTCCTGTATGAATTACGGTGCCCAATTTAGGATAAAAACAGATTATACCCACCGCTGTGCACCCCCCCCCCCCCAGCATGTTGTAAAAGGTGATTAATTAGAGGTGTTTCCTTTGAAGTTTGAGTCCTTCTGCCTGAGAAGTGAAGAACCAACAGTCTACATACATATGAGCCAGATTTGCAGAATAGATGTGCATACAAAACTCAAGATGAGAAGCAAGACCAAAGTTCAGAACTGGACGAACACCCAAAACTTTCCACTGGAGTTTACACCCATTGAATGCTAAGAAACAGTTGAGACAGTGAACCTGTATCATCATAACTCATATGACATGTGTTTGTAAACTCAATATGAAATTTAGGTTGTCTTCTTCTTCTTAAAAGGGCGGTTTGCACGTTGTGTTGTCGTTTGAAACAAGGCTTTTACATTTACAGCCCAACACGCCTGATTTAAGTCAATCCCTAATATAGTCATCTTCACAACATGCATATTAGAGAGGCAGTGGGTCCCCACCCCCCCCCCCCCCCCCCACCACCCCACCCCCACCACCACCACCACCACCCCCACCACCCCCCACCACCACCACCACCACCACCACCCCCCACCACCACCACCCCCCCACCACCACCACCACCCCCCACCACCACCACCCCCCCCCCACCACCACCACCACAATTGTGGCCACATAACCTATGTGGGGAAGGTTGAGTCTAAAATCATTTTTTGAAGCATTTCTCAAAAACAGACATGTTTGTTTGCTGACGAAGCGATTTAACTCTCAGTCCCGGTCGTATAGTTCATTAATTTTTTTTAATTCCCTATTTTATTTCCCTTCATCGCGTAATCTTCTTAAATTTGATCTTAGTATATTTAAGAAATCTGGCTGTTCCTGTGGTCGCTCCCAGTATGTATATTGCCATTTTAAAAGTAATACATTTATGATTTTCCATTTGATTATTTCATTACCTCGATATCTCCTGCCAAATCTTATGGTACTAAAATAGTTCCAGTGCAGCAGATAAGATGGTTTGGCCATCTCATGAAGATGCCCTGGTACTATCTGCAATACACAGCCATTTAAACAAAACAAAAAACTTTATGAGCAGATTAGGTAGAAGACCAGGCAATCATAAAACAAAACAAAACAAAACCAAAAAAGAAATGTGAACCATCAAGAACAACTTTCAAAAAATGCAAATCAACTTGCACTTAAAAACAACCCCCCCCCCCCCCCCCCTCTCCAAAGGGGGTTGGGACATCTGAGAAATTGAAGGGAAAGAAAGGCGGATAAAGGAACTTAGTCTAGCACAGTTGTATGGATAGATGTCTGTATGAAGAACAGTGTTTGACAGCAGGCTGTGAACAGATAGGATGATGAAAACTACACAGCAGGAAGTATAAGAAGAAGAAGAAGAAATGTGCACTTAAAATGACCAGTGGGAAAGCAAGATTTTTTTAGTTTGCTCTGACCAGATTTATGGAACATGTATTTTAAAAACACATCAGATAAATTACATTCAAGATGAGAGCCATTCACACTTTATGTATTACTTGGGACTGAAAAAGTTAACATAGACATACAATTTAATCATGGCTGAATGTTTGTTTCGCATTAGACAAAGTGACGACATCATTCGCAGGGAAACATTATGTTCCTTTTCATGTAAATTACTAAGAATTGTTGTTCATAGCAAGTTTGTGTAAATAGATGTAGATGTATTTAAACTAATAGTGTTACCCATACATCGTAGGTTGTTATTCTTTACCAGGTAGGACAATACTAATAAATAATGAATTATTTTTCACAGTTATAGTGTATTGACAGCTTGTGTTGTGTGTGATTTGAATAAGTGTAACGAAAAAAGTACACCTATTTTGTGTGTGTGTGATTTAAAAATTTGTGTTTAAAAAGAGGACACATACTTTGACAGTTGTAGTATAATGACAAAATATGATGTTTTATGATTTTATTAAAATTTGTAACATAAACTGTGCACGTACTTTGACAAGTGTGGCATAATGACAGCATGTGACTGGATTGTGTCATTTGCAAATGTATAACCCTAAAAAAAATACAAGTACTTTGATAATTGTAGTATAATCTTCTTCTTCTTCTTGGCGTTCACCAGCTGTACACTCTGGCGGAAAGTTCTGGTTGCTCGTCCACTACTGAACTGCAGTCCTGTTCCAGAACTTGAGTGTTGTGTGTGCATCAGTTTTACAGATCTCATTCTCCTGAATACAGACTGTTGGTTCCTTGCCTCTCCGGCAGGTGCATTTCGACTTCAAAGGAAGCTCCCCAATTAGTCGACTCTTACGACATGCTTTTGGGGAGGCAGTGGGTCTATTCTTGTTTTCCCCACAATGGGGCCCTGGAACCCACACGGGGGTGTAGTATAATAACAACATGTGACTGCGATTTTAAAAATTGTAATGAAAAAAGGTGCAAGTACTTTGGCAGTTGTAGTGTATGTAATATAGTGACAACTTGTAGTGTGTGGTTTTTAAATGTGTAGCCACAGAAAACTACAAGTACTTTGACAGGTGTAGTATAATGACATGCATGTGATGTGTGCAATTTAAAGATGTGTAACACACATACACACACAAAGTACACATACCTGTTGTGTCATAATTTTATTGTTGTGTATTGGTAGTACAATAGATTTGTTGTACTGTTTTTAATCTTTCAGTGTAAAACATTTTGATCATGCTGTGTTGTACTAGAATGAGATGTTACAAGTTTATAGCAAGAAGTCAGGTTTTTGAATGAGAAAGTGTCTGCCAGTAACTTATTGTCAAGTGCTCACATTTGAAAGAGCAGATATATCTATGCATATTAGGTGTTCATTGTGTGTGTTACTAATCTCCAAGCTCTTGAGAATGGCTTGGTGTATGTATGAACATTTGTGCTCTCCTTCTTCTTTTGCGTTTGTCCTTAAAAGGGTGGTGGGCAGGTTGTGTTGTGGTTTACAGCTAAGCTGCGATACCTGCACCTTTTGACCCAACACATCCAATTTCAGAAAAACCCCTGATTAGTCTAAAAAAGTCCCTGTGTGGGTTTTGGGGCCCCATTGTGAAGGGAAAACAAGAATAGACCCACTGCCTGCCCAGAATCATGTCGTAAGAGTTGAATAATTGGGAGCTTCATTCGAAGTCGGAGTAAATCTGCCTGAGAGACAAGAAACCAACAGGCTACATGCGGATGAGTCAGACCTGTGAAACAGATGTGCACGCAACACTTAGTTTCTGGAACAGGACTAGAGTCTAGAAGTGAACGAACAACTAGAACTTTCTGCTGATAGACGCAACGAAGAGGAAGTCCAGCAAAAATAGGGACTCTTAACCAGCATGGGGGAAATTGTGTAGAAACACACTAGAGAGATTGTCACTCTTTGAGTTGTAACGCTTTCAAGAGTTGCCTGCATGCAGAACATGTTTAAGATGTCAACATGTTCATGACACTTTATAAGTATGAGACAGCATAAACAAACTCAACAGGACAGAACAAACATCAGTTTTTAGACTTCGGATAGGACACTGTGGTCTTCGAGGACACTTGCACAAGATAAGCATAAAAGAAACTGCTGCCTGTGATTGTGGAGCAGAAAGACAGACCACTAAGCACATACTGCCCTAACTTCTCCCAGCAAAGACTGTGGATCTGGCCCAATGGAGTTACATTGCAAGAAAAGCTATAAGGGACCGGTGGCGACCTTAAACGCACAATCCTATTTGTGACTCAGACGGGACTCAATGTTTAGCATGACTAATGTCAAACCCAGAAAAAGAAGAAAAAGAAGTATGAGGTTATTTCTGTCATTTATGCTACGTAGAGAGAATATTTGTCCGTACTTTCTGCAAGATTATTCATCTGGTTCATATGTGTGCCCAATAACAGT